TCTGTCCTGTCATGGCTATAGAGGCCGTTTACGAACTCCCTGCTTGTCCTATCACGGTTATGGAGGCCATTTGTGAACTTTTGTCAGCCAGGGAGGCTGCCCCTGAATGCTCAGTCTTGTCTATCAACCCCAATGTTCTGTCTGAGTTGTCTGTCTCTGCTCTCTCGTTGTTACAGTCTCCGCCATGGTCTCCTGATCGGTGTGGTTCACCGGGGGGGTTTCCTGTTCCCTCTGCTGGTGGTGGTCCTCTGCTCCGCCGTGGTGGTCTACTGTCTGGTTCTGGTGGTCCTCTGCTCCGCCGTGGTGGTCTACTGTCTGGTTCTGGTGGTCCTCTGCTCCGCCGTGGTGGTCCTCTGCTCCGCCGTGGTGGTCCTCTGCCCCGCCGTGGTGGTCTACTGTCTGGCTCTGGTGGTCTTCTGCTCCGCCGTGGGGATCTTCGGTCCCGTCTGCTCTGCTGTGGTGGTGCTCAGCTCTACCTGTACTGCCGGCTCCACCCTGGCCCCCTGCTCCGCCGGTTCTGCCTCAGTCCCTGGTCTCTCCTATCCTTGGTCAGTGTGAGGCATATTTAGAACCACATTCATTAGATGACAGTAAGAAACAATGCAGCCCCTAAAAAACAAATAATTGTAATTTAAAATCTTTACCAATGTTTGCCACAGTGTTGGGGAAAGTTACTTTTAACAGTAATGCATTACAATATTCGTTACTCAGAAAGGTACTAATTACGTTAGTTACTTTTTATGGAAAGTAAGTTACTTTTTCTCATCTGGACTGGATGGAATGTAGAAGCCCTTTCACACCGAAAGTTAAATGAATGGACCCTTTTTTTTTTTTAAATGTATGTACATTTATAACACTATTCTTTGTATTATATCACCTTTGCATCAAATGACATGTTAAATAAAATTTAACTGAAAAAACAGTTAACGCTAATGCGAGGGTGTTTCTAATGCAGCGTCTATGGGAGGGATGGTAAATTTGACACTGTTCTATCTTCTGACTGCCGTTATCAGTCTCTCTCAATTTCTTTCCTTTTATTGAGTCACAAAAACACTATCGTGGAGTTTTTCTTTTGCTATTTGAGCAAATGGGAATGCAAAAAATATATTTGTGGTACTTTCCCATTCCCTGCTCTTCAAGTTAACCCAACTATGACGACTTCCACTGCTGAGAAACCCGGAAATGTGAAAAGGGTCCATAAGCCTCAGGCTGAAGAGAATTGAAATGTTAAATATTGACAAAAAAATTTAAAAATGTAGATCAATTATGAACTCTTGGTTACAGAGAGATATATAAATTTTCGGGAGAATATTGTTATTGAAAGTCTTTCTAGATTAATTTACCCAGGTTTTTCATTGCCAATTTCTTCCAGAAAGATAAAAGCAATTAATAAACTTAATTTTGATTTCATTTGGAGGAAAAAGTATCACTATATAAGGAAAAATTATATAATAAGAGAATATGAGGATGGTGGGTTAAAGGCAATAGATTTTGATATTATGAATGGAGTACTTAAACTTAAATGGCTTCAGTCTTTTCTTAGAAATGAGCATTCACACTGGTTTGCAATTCCATCCAGTTTGTTTAAAAAATTTGGAGGTATAAAGTTTTTTTTACAATGTGACTTTGAGATATCTAAAATTCCACTGAAACTGTCGGATTTTCATAAACAAGTCATCTTGTATTGGAAAATGCTGTTTAAACATAACTTCGGAAGTCCTCATGATGTTTCCTTAAGGAATAATCGTTGTATTTTATTTCAA